TAGACCCACATGTTCCGCCTCTACCACCTAAAGACGTGATTCATCGCATATACAGAGACGTCAGTGACAACTGCTGCACTTTCTGTTGGACTATCAACTCAATGATGGTATGAACTCTAGATTCGGTTCAGTAATGACAAAACTCCTTACAAGAAGAACTTGTCCGCGAGCTTTTCCAGAAGTGGCAGGAAAGGCATTTTTGCATGCTGTGAGTCTTACACATCCTCAATCTTCTCCTAATTATTGAACTTCGGATTAGACCACGTGTGAGCATACGTTCACCCATTGCTCTGGCATTCTGATTCATATATTGTTCATGCACTTTCCAGTTCTAGTGAGCCTGGATTCCTCGCTGTTTCTGTTTTAGATCGTACTAACATTCCGTCACCAGTTAGACCTGGTAGCGAGAGTCTTCTTGCCGCAGGTACGTGGTGTCCAGGCAAGAATGAGTTAGCCACTATCCGGTGAGTAGACTGGTTCGCTCAAACGACTCTGTCCTTAACGAAATTCCCTAGCTCCAATATTGCTCGTTCCTCCGATAGACTCAGACAGGTTATCTCTGATCCTGAGTTCGTCGCGCTCTTCGGTGAACCAACGCCGACGAAAGACGGAGGCCGTAGGAACATCTTCGGTGCTGAAGATGAGTTAAAAGTGGCGCCAAAGGGGTTCGATAAGGATCACAGGTCAGGAATTAGAACTTTCCTGCTCCCATACTGAAGATCATGTCGAACATAGGGATATTGATCTTCTTAAATGTCGTACTTTCGCCGTTTTTCATCGGTGAGGATACCTCGTCCTTTTGATTCTCAACAGCTGATGGGGTACCAATGTAGATTTAAAGATTCCGAAGTACTCGCTCCTGACTTTAAGAGAAGATTGGGTGAAGTTGTAGCCGTAGCTCGACCATTCGTGCATTGGTGAGCACGTCGGAGTCCTTTTCAAGATAAGTCATGTGTTGATATATCCCGTCCCAGTTTGAACGACCTTATGACGCTGCAAGATCACGACAACGAGAATGAGGATGATGACGGAAACTGATTTTTACACATACTGTTCCTTTCTCTGATGTTCTGGGATGGGGATCCCATTCATTTAACCCCCTCACAACCATTTAAATACAAACAAATCAAGAAATTTTGGGACCTGCAGACAATTATGCAACAGGCAATACTTTAGTTGTGTTTCAAGCAGTAGCGGATACGGACCAGACCACCTGGCTGAATGAAGATTGTATGACTCTAATTTCTCAGTCATGTATGAGCTCATATGAGACTTTCTCGCTGTGTTGAAGGAACATCGACGACTCATTGATCTCGTCATTTCCTTGGCATCTGTATACAACACATGCAGCTCAATGTGGGACGACCATATGGGAAATGGTCATCGGCGGCAGTACAATATTGAAGTCGACGGAAAATACCGTCCTCTTAATCGTGCCCCGCAAGTCCGAAAGGTAATGGGTGATGATGAAAATACATATCCTCGATGGATGTCTGGCTTGGCTTTAGTCGCAAGGAGGACCATAATGTTCGAAAATCAATTCCTGAAGACGTTCAACTCTTAAAATGGGTCTGACTGCTGCTTCGGTGGATATTGAGACCGACGATAATTGAACCGTCGAGCATTGATTGCCATACGATAGATCTGGCTAAGGTTGCACCACAATAGTCTCTCCTTCCCTTAATATTGAGGATAGTTTCGGTCACCTATATTACGAGGTCATCCAGCTACCGCAATTGACTTGAGATAGTCAATTCGATGAGGGTTCGCATCACTTTCAGCTCCGCGATAGATAGCTGACCACTTTGGCTCGTCCTGACCATGTTTGAGTTAGCTCGAGCTAATTATCAGAGCAATCAAACCAAATGAGTACCTTGAACAACCGAACAGCTTGCACCAGATCTCCCTCATCGACAGTAAATCGATGGTAGATTCCAGCAGGGATCACTAGTAAGTCACCGGCAGACACAGCTAGACGGATCCATGAATCGGTAGAAGCCTCTGGTAGGATAGGTCGAAGCAGTATACACATGTCACAGCGTAAACGTATACATAGATGCTTGAGCGAGAGCAAATGCAGCTAGGTAGAAACTACACGTACGGCGGATATCAAAAAATCCACTTCCGGATAGAACGTAACGAATCTCCTCATCCTCATGGATATGTCTGAATAGATCACAAATCTCTCCTCAACCATCGGACGCGAACAATCAGCTTACTCTTTGTAAAAGGCCTTGATTTTCTCTTCGTATTGCTATCTCGTTGTCAAAAGGATTGATCACCTCATTTATACGAAGTTGCCCACAAAAATAACTCACGTCCCCCAAGCCTTCTTTTGATATAGTGATAACATCTCTGTTCTTGTATGCCCTTTCCTTCGAAATGACGTTCAACTTCTCTTCATACCCTTCCGTGAGGGGAATATTCCATGATTCAACTCTGAGACCGTTCAGAGTTTCGGCGTCAACAGACCGGGACGAATCGTGAGGTAGTCTTTGGTCCCCAGGTTGATTGTCAAAGTAATATGCACGCATGTCTGGATTAACTGCAGAGGTTGGAAAAGCTTGGAGAGTGGTACGATGATAGTTCTGACGAAAAGGTCGAACGTGAGTAAATCTGGGTTCTTTGACTTGGAATAGTCTATATGGTTAGCTGGCGTGGTCAGCTTCCACCGCTCTTTATGGTCTGGATGAACAGATTGGTCAAGATTCGAAGAATGAATCTGCATGATGACGAAATTTCGAGCTTTTCTGAGCTCACGTAATTCATATTATTGGACTAAGTATTTAACAAGTCCAATCATACTTTGCAATTCTGCAGCACTTCTTCAACCCGATCGGCCATAATTCGATGAGTTTCCTTCGATGGGTGTCTATAAAATTTATCAACCAAGGCTGAGAGAGTCGAAAAAAAATAGTGCGCTGACCCATCTATCCAGTAGAAGTAATGCTCCGGATCCATACACCAACCGTACTGGTTACAGTCTTCCGTGCAGACCGTACATGCTGCGGTGCTTGTATATCCAAAGGCCTGATATCTGATCATCCGAATCAAAAAAAAAAAAAGCTCGACACTAGCTAGCTACACAAACTTTCAAGCTTGAAACTCACCCTGGATTGGGTCCCAGTACCCCATCCCAAATCGCTGCCATGTCAACATAAGCCACATTGAGGTTCGCAGACCCCTCATGAAGTGCTTTCAGACCATCAAACACTTGCTGTTTGTACGCTTCACCCCATGCGGAAGTGTTTCCCCGTCCATAAACGTCGACGACAAGGAAGGACTTGCCATTTGTAGGCGGGCTGGAAAGGGTTTGGATCTCGTTCAGGATGGTTTCCGCGGCCTCAGGCATGTGATCGCCGTCGACTGTAGGCATGGTACATCGTTAGGTTAGAATGAATGGCAAGGAATACAAAAGACAAAGTCTCACTGAGGGATGCGATGTAATCACTGGGCAAAGGTGTAGATAGCTTGAGGCGAGAAACTGTGCTAGGGTGAACGAACTTACTTGATCCCAAAGAATATACTATAAAGCGTCGAGTCCGGGTCCAGTTGGTTTGACTGACTGAGGAAAGTGGCCACTAATGGCGGTCATGATCATGGTAAAACGATCAACGGAAAGATACACTGGTACTCACTTTGATCGATGAAATCGACTTTCCTAGGATTACTCGGCCACAGAGATAGATTCGTACACGCGCCCCATTGCTGTAAAATTCCGGAAAAAAGGTTGGAACGGAGCTCATTCAAAAATAGAAAAGCTCAAGTGGACAAAGGTTACATAACAAAGAAAAATCAGAAGACCTATATCTCGAGGCGCACGCCGTCACAATTTTATTTAGAATGCAGCCTCAGCGCCACAGAAAGGTTTTCAAACCAAGAATATCGAACAAAAGGAAGAAAATCTCGGAGGAGCATACCGCATAATCCATGAGATGAGCACCCCAGTCACCGGACACGCCTTCAATCCAGACAGGTCCGTTCGTGGACCGTCCACCGGCTTCATCATTTGGAGGGATCAAAACAGGCGGGAGAAGCGCAGACCCATTGTCAATGCCTCCATCCGTGTACGAGTCCTATACGCATACAAGAAGGGGAAAAGAAAGAATATGTCAAGTGAATATGATAAATCGACACAAAAAGTAGAACGATTGCACACCCCAAACGAAATGATAGTCTTGATCGACGAAGGCACGATTCCCGCATTCACATTCGTCGTCTTCCCATCCAACGGCCCACACTGAGGCGAAACCGCCAAATGAATACCATCGTTATCGCCATTGCCTTGCCTTGGTCTGAGTATAGTTCCTGGCACTGTTGAATGCAAAGAACGTTGAGACCTCCCCGGAGCAGAGTGTACACCGTAGTAGCTCCCACTGAATAGCAAACTGGAGGTGTAGACTGAGAGGAGAAGGTGAATCAGTTTCAGGGACATCGTTGTGTACGTCTAGTAGTTAGCGAACCACCGAGAAGAACGAGGAGCTGCTTAGATTTTGGAGGATCTAGTGCTGACTTTTATACTTTTTCAACAGGGCAGAACAATCCGAGGAACCTCTAACGACGTGCTCAGACGTTACGTCTTTCTTCGCTCTGTCCACATGGCCATGTATCTTCCTCTTGTTCAACCTGTCGCTGTACTGAAAAGGCCTTGTATCGTTCTAAATTAGGAGTATAATCAGCACTCACCTTTCAACTTATTCGGCGTACGGATAGCAATTGAATCGAATCAGCACGGAATACGTACAATTGATGTATAGCAGCGTCACCGGATAAGGCCCAATGAAGTTTTCAACGATGTTGAGCTTGAAGGGTATTCAAATTCCATGGTACAACAGATGGAAGCAGAAGAATCTCTTCGAGAATACATTCCAACTTTCTCTGGTCATAAGACTATAGGGCACATGGCTGCAAGGCTCAGAAATGTATCGAATTTAAAAGGTACAGGGCTGCAGCTTGCTTGAAATAGATGCAGGAGTGAAAAAAAAAACCACCCTACAAATTTCCAATGCGGGGAATCGAACCCCGGGCTGCTGTGCAAAGAACCATAATGAAAGACAGCAATGTTGACCACTACACCACATTGGATACCCTAAATGCATGATAGCTGTTAACCTACACTGATTGATCGATAAGGAAGTTTATTCTTTCTGAATACCCTACAAGATTAAAACTCTAATCAAGCATATCAACGACAACGGGCCTGAACCCTGGGCCACCGAAGCCAAAATTCTGATATTCGCGTCTGCGTTGGCCCATAGGCCAATTGGCAGCATTGACGAACACTGTGACACCGTCTTTGTCTTCGTTGACTTCGCTGGATTCGTCTGATTGTTCGGTCATTTGAACGTCGTCCGCTTCGACCTGATCATTTTGTACGTTTCCAACGTTACCCTTGGACCAAGGATGAATATGAGCACCATGAGCTTCGTGGATATGCCCGAAGAGATGTAGACGAGGACGGAGACGAGGAAGAGTGTCGGCGAGAGTCGGACAGCCCGGGAAATCACCTCGGTTTGTGCGGTCGAGGATGTTACGAGGAGGACCATGGGTAAGTCTGACGGATGATCTTATTGATATATTGCGATTAGGAGAGCAAAACGAAATGGTAGCTCACAGGATATCGGATTTCGGGAACCTCGAGATTAACGCTGTAAAGTCATGATTCAGACAAAGAGTGCTTTTCAATGTACGATGCACCCACAAGGTCCTTCAGTGGCAGTATATCCAAAAGCCCAATTATAGAACTCCGGTGACCACTACGGAAAACGCGAGAATGAGCATTGCATTCTGCCGCCTGGTGTCAACTCACGGGAGAGCCGTACACAGACCACGATCTGCCGCCTTCTCTTGCTTGAAAAGTGTATAATTCATTTTGCAGGTAGACAACGTTAGATTCTTGAGCATTCTTTCCTTTGAGTAGATTGAGAATACGTCCGCGATCCTGAGTTCAAGTTTATGAGTGATTGATACAAGCCGGAACTATCATAACACACTTGTGGCATTGTGTGTCCCGAAGTTGACCACCTATCATAGTTCATCTCGTACCAGTCAGCATGTAGAGGTAGATCATGATTCCCTGCGATAATTCTGCCACGATCAATACTCCACATAAGTAATATAGCATTGATACACACATTTTCCATTTATGAGGCAGGCTGCGAATCCAATCCATAGTCTTCTCAAACTCTGCTATAGTCCCGGTATTCGTCAGATCTCCACTGTGCAGCAGAACGTCTCCGTCTGGAACAGGAAACTGCCTTGCGTGAGTATCGCTGACACAGATAAAGCGCGTATAACCAGAGGAAGGAGGCGGAAGATTTGAAGGGTCATATTCGAGATATACGATGTCTCTGCTTTGAGGGGATCTGAGTGTTACAGACTTTTCTTCAGCCATAGTAAAATTACGAAGAAAGGTGTCGTTCTGGCGCCCAACTGGCGCGTGAAGCTGGCAGGTGATGGCAGGCGATGCAGTAACTCTAATAAAGCACTTTTCGTCTCTAGACATATTAAATTCGGTTTCTCCAAAGGGACCTGGGATCACAGTGCATATTCCATAGTGCTGGCGCTACCGCTATGGTACTCCTGAGTTGTTCACGGGCGAGACGCCAAAGGTCAAACAGAAGGTCTGCCTAACTTCAACACAGAAAACTTGGTGTGTGTACAAGTATGCCCTATCTGCCGGGAAGCTGTGTGTCCCGCTGGGATGCGAGTCTTGTGCTATCAAGATACTCATCAATCAATAGTCGAATCGTAGTCCTCGATGATTATCTGATCCTCCATCAAGCCCTCACACTGGACTAGTGGCTGCCTACATTCAAGTTGGGTTGTACGTACTTGGTGGCTTCGATTCGTGGTTATGGGTTATTGCAGTATGATTGCACCCTATATGATTCGCTCGTCACTGGAGTTCCGTATATGACTGTTTTCGGCGACTTGGAGAGAGTAACATTTGCCGCGCAGCATTTATCCGGTCAATCATATTATCTTCCCCAGCTCAAACTGCTTGTCGTTATTTGAAACTTGGCTTTGTTGGCTTAGATCCTCTTAGACCAGCCAAGATCCTTTCAAGGTCATAGTACCTCCATTGTCTTCGAGTTTCACAAAGACCTTTAGATATTTATTGAAAGGTGCTCACTGCTTTTGGTCCCTGAGCGCTGAGCACCGGCAGAACTCCTCGGCACGGAAGTTGAAACTCGAAGCGCCCGATCAGCGCGCGACGAAATTCCCTTTGAAAGAAAGGTATAAAAGATGGCCGATGGCCTTTTGCGTGCCTTCCCTCTGGTGCAGGAACATATAAGTTTGGTATTATCTTTCCGTTGGGCAGGCCCTCTCCCCCTTCCAGTCCCTACCCTCAAGTAAATCTAGTGTGCTACTTATCGTCTCTAGGCCGGCCCTAGTCATCATCGCTCTCGCTCGTTCTCTCAGTCTGCTATATCGTTTCACTCCTTCAACCAATTCAGCACACAGAATAACGAAAATGATGTTTTCCAACGAGATCTCTTTCTTCTTTGTCGCTATCGCATGTATTCTCAGCTGGATTCAACTCGTTCATGGACAGACCATCAGTGGAATTGTGCGTGTCAAAGGTTTCTTTCTTCGCGTTATTTGTCGTTGACTCAAGGTTGCTGTTCTCCAGGTTACTTCTTCCGATCAGAGCCAGCTACTTCAAGATATCACTGACGCTCCTTCATTCACCTCTGGAAGTGGCGCGGCCGATATTGCCATCGACGAGACGACAGTGTATCAGCAAATGGTAGGGTTCGGTGGATCGATAAGTGCGTCGCCCGTGTTGTTTTACTTCACAAGAGCAATGTCTGATTTACACAAAGCGGATTCGGCCGCTCTGGCAATGTACAATCTCAAGGTCCGTGTTATGCATACGATCTTGTTTTAATATCTGTATTCATTCACCCATAGAACGCCAATGCCGATATGTATAACAAATTCTTGAAGAATGCATTCACCAGTACAGGCGCAGCTTTGAGCTATCTGCGCGTTCCAATCGGCGCCTCCGACTTTTCATCTTCCTGTGAGCGCTGACATTTCCCGTGGTAATATAACCAAAAATGACTCGTTGGCATCGCAGCGTACAGCCTAGACGACATTAGTGGCGATACTTCCTTTAACTCCTTCAACATCTCCAACGCACCTTCGTATCTTTTCTCGACGTTAGCGGATATCTATGCCGTCAATCCGAACGTAAAGGTCAGTTGCAGCAATTTCTCTTCCCGAACTTTTCGTGTTTAAGTTTACATTGCTCCAGATCCATATACTTCCTTGGTCTCCAGTACGTCATGTCCATCGACAATCTCTCTCTCCCATCTCATGAAACATTTCATAGCCAGCGTGGATGAAGGATGGAAATACCATGAATGGGGGATCTCTCAAGAGTGGTATGGTCAGCCCTTGTGAGTTTCGGACACGATCAAGATCATGGCGATTGTTGATACATGACCTATCAGACCCTACATATCTCTTGAAAGCAGTGCAAGGATTCAAGGCCAAGAACTTACCTGTGGAAGCGATTTCCATCCAAGTGAGTAAAAACACTTTTGCAACCATTCATAATCACTGAACGTACCCTCAGAACGAACCACAGAACAGCAATCCTACCTACCCCAGCTGTACCATTGACGCCTCTACTCAAGCTACTATCGCCAAATCCCTGCGCAGCTTGCTCGACCAAAACAGTTTCACCGACGTCAAAATCATCGGTTATGAGGTGATGAACCTTTCACAGCGTTCGATTTTCAACTCACGTTCTCCGCGTTATAGCATAATTGGGATGATACAAGCTCATACACTATTCCCATGGTGAGCGCCGTTCATGCCCTCTTCCGATCTTCACTAATATCGCTGTCACGTGCGCTCATAGGTCGATGATGCACCCAACGCGTTCGAGGGCGTAGCGTAAGTAATTAGTTCATTACATCAACCTCCTACATTACATCAACCTCCTACTCACCGTTTCCTCAGTTTCCACTGCTATGGTGGACAGGTATCACAAACGGCAGCCTTCAGCGCTCAATTTCCTAACATTGTAAGTTATATCTTTTCCTTCATCAGACTTCTTTGATAGCTAATTCTGTGCTCAGCCGATGTATCAGACCGAATGCGCCGGTACACCGGGATCAGATTGGTGGACCGATGTTCAATGGTATGTCAACAACCTGTGAGTGTATTCCAGATGAATCTTGCAAACCTTCCTCATCCGTATCTAAGATGGTCCGCGAACAATACCGCTACGGTACGTGAAAGGCACACAACTCGTATACCTTATATCCCATACTAACTCGAATGTAATATAGGGAATGATGTGGATTTTCGCCTCCGCTGACAATGGTCAATCTCCTTATCCTGGTTCTAACAGCTGTGGAGACGGCTGTCGTGGAATGTCCACAGTGACAACGAGTAGCGTGACTTACAACCAGGAATACTACTCCATGGCACACTACGCCCGGGCCTTCACCTCTGACGACGGAAGTACTTTGGGCAAGAGGATTCAGGCTTCCGGTGGTTCGAACCTGAACGTGGTTGCGTATGCTACCGGAGACAAGTACTCCCTGGTAGTCCTGAACAGTATGTTGGCCGTTTTCTCTTTTCAGTTTCCAGACTCACTGTTCAATCACAGGTGGTGGCTCTTCGAAAAAGAGTATTTCTTTCCAAGGGAAGCAGGTGAGCCGGCAAGCTTTCTTGAAGTCACTGTTTTGACCTCAACTTCGTGTAACCAGGCCACGTTTACCTTTCCAAGTGGTCTAACAACGTTATGGTGGACGGGTTCCAACACTTCTACGAAACGAATGATAAAGAAGAGAAGAATATAAGTCAATAGTGATCGATTCCTTGCTTTTTCTCCTCGATGGGGTATTTATGTCTTCCCTTGACGGGATATATTTATTCTTATGCATTAATGATAAATGCTGGTCAACGATTTACTTCTTTGTGTCTCGAACACTGCTTTCCTGAGCATCTCCTGTTTATACGCGCCGTAGTTTGCGTGGCTTGAATATGCGTGAGCCAGAATGTGAAGTTGGTATAAGAATTCATGCATGTTCCAACCCAAGCCCCAAACCGATCCTGTACTT